TAAATAAACAAAGACCTACTGTATAGCATGGGCGACTAAATTACTAATAATCATGTAATAAACTAATAATAGAAAGAAATACTGAAAAGGTAGTATATTTAAAATTTTTACTGTATTTTAAAAATTATATACATATATAACTTAATCGCTTTGCTGTACACCTGGAACTAACACAACATTGTAAATCAACTGTACTTCAATGAAAAAGAAAAAAAATTAACTGGCATTTGTAACCAATAAAAATCAACATGAAAACACATACACACACACACACACACACACATACACAGAGATACACATACACCAGCAAGTTCCCATTTTGAAAAATGAGAATCAGAGCAGCCAGGCACATATTTTCTTTTGTGAAGGCAAAGAAAGGGTTTTTTTTTCCCTCCAGCAAAGCTGATGCCCGCCTAGAATTACGTGGCCTGGACCCAGGGTGTGTTCCTGTCTGCGGTCCCATGCTCAGCAGCCCCCGGGGCAGCCGGAGAAGGACACAGTGCCGTCCTTTGTCTGGTTCTGTTTTTCCAACGGGGCAGGGCTAACGCTGCGCTGGAAGATCCATTCAAACCTGTCTCAGGAGAAACAGGGCAGTGAGCTCCGAGGGCAGCGAGCCATGGTCCGGGGGCTTGGACGGGCCTGCCGCCACTTCCCACGCACTCTGCTGCCTCTTCTAGAACCCGTGGGAAGCAGAGGCAGCAATTCATTCTGCTGCGGGGAGAAAGGGAGAATCCTTCAAGGATGCTCTGCCTTTCAGCTGAGCCCGAAAGAGGAGATTTCTCTGCGGAAAGAGATGAAAGGGCTTTCAAAGTGGAAAAAGAGGCATGGGAAAGTGACTACGCATAAAACGCAATCAATCAATAAAGCGAGATAGGTTGGGGCTGGGTTCTAGAAAATTTTGAAAGTCCTATGGAGATGTTTGGACCTTATTCTGTAAGCCTGTGCTGTCCAAAGGAACTTTCTAGAAGGATGGAAATGTTCTCTATCTGGGGTGTCCAATACGGTTGCCAGCAACCACACAA